AGAAAATGTGTAAACAATAAAGAAAATTAATGACGTCAAACAATTTTTTGAAAAATATAATAAAATTGATGAGCAGTTAGCAAGAAAGAGAGAAAACACAAATTCCTAACATCAGCTGTAACAGAAGAGCAATTGCTGCATAACCAAGAATACTGAAAATATATTATAAAAGTTTCTTTTAATAAATTTGAAAATAGATAAAATTAACAAATTCTTTGAAAAACTCATCTTAATAAAATACTCAAAAAATCATTAAAAATCTGAGAAGTCTGTATAGATTAAAATAATTGAATTTAGAATTCAAAACATTTCCACAGAGAAAAACTGCAGGACCAGGTGGTTGCACTTACCATTTCTTTTTTTCTTTTCTTTCTTTTTTTTTTGAGACTGAGTCTCGTTCTTGTCGCCCAGGCTGGAGTGCAGTGGCATGATCTCAGCTCACTGCAACCTCCACCTTTCAGGGTCAAGCAATTCCCCTACCTCAGCCTCCCAAGTAGCTGGGATTACAGGCACCTGCTACCACGTCAGGCTAATTTTTGTACTTTTAGTAGAGACGGGGTTTCACCATGTTGGTCAGGCTAGTCTCCAATTCCTGACCTCAGGTGATCCACTCGCCTCAGCCTCCCAAAATGCTGGGATTACAGGTGTGAGCCATTGTGTCCGGCCTGCACTTGCAATTTCTATCAAACATTTAATAAAAAACAAAAAAAAAATCAACCAATTCCACCAAATGATGTTAGAGAATTGTGGAAGAGGAAATATTTATCAACTCATTTTATGGGGCTAAAATAACCCTATTACCAAAACCACCTGACAAAGACATTATAAAGACCACCATCTTCATGAACACAGACATCAAATCTAAACTTTTTTTTTTTTTTTTTTGAGACGGAGTTTCACTCATGTTACCCAGGCTGGAGTGCAATGGCGCGATCTCGGCTCACCGCAACCTCCGCCTCCTGGGTTCAGGCAATTCTCCTGCCTCAGCCTCCTGAGTAGCTGGGATTACAGGCATGCACCACCATGCCCAGGTAATTTTTTGTATTTTTAGTAGAGACGAGGTTTCACCATGTTGACCAGGATGGTCTCGATCTCTTGACCTCGTGATCCACCCGCCTCGGCCTCCCAAAGTGCTGGGATTACAGGCTTGAGCCACCGTGCCCGGCCAAATCTAAATTTTTAATCAGTAAATTAATCTAATACCATATAAACAGAACAGTAAATTGACCAAATGGTCGAGGCATGGTGGCTCACGCCTGTAATCCCAGCACTTTGCGAGGCAGAGGAGGGAAGATCATTTGAGGTCAGGAGTTTGAGACCAGTCTGGTCAACCTGCTGAAACCCCATCTTCACTAAAAATACAAAAATTAGCTGGGTGTGCTGTCACACGCCTATAGTCCCATCTACTCGGGAGGCCGAGCCAGAACTGCTTGAACCTGGGAGGCAGAGGTTGCAGTGAGCAGAGATTGTGCCACTGCACTCCAGTGTAGGCAACAGAGGGTGACTCCATCTCAAAAGTGAAATAAAATAAAATAAAAATTGACCAAATGGGCTTTATTTCGGAAACATAATCAGTGTGATTAATCAGATAATTTACCACATTAAAAGAATAAAACAGCAGCAGAAACATCTTCAAATTGAAATATAAAATGAATGTTTTCATGCCATTTTCAACGTCACAACATCCACAAACATTATTTTGAGACCACAATATAAAACTTAAAACCATAAATTTTGTAGGAAAATAATACAAAATATTTTTTGCAACTTTGAAGTGGATGAAATTTGCCTAGAAAAGCCACAAAAAGCCCTAAATATAAAACAATGATAAATCGAACCTCATTAAAATAAAAAACAAAGTCTGTTCTGAAAAGGCAAGTCACAGACTGGAAGAAAATATTTGTTTTCTTTGTATGTGTGTACATACACACACACACATATTTAATTATCTACCTGTCTTTATACTAAAAAGACAACCAAATCAACAAAAAATAAACAAAAGGTGATACTTCGCAATAGAAGCTACAACAAGAGCCGATAAACTCCTGAAAAGATGCCCAATACCATTCATTGTTCAAGAAATGCTATTAAAGACACCAAGATAGCCTTTTACATGGACTAGGATGGCAGAATATTAAGCAGATTGATAAAACAGAGAGATGCAGAAGAACTGGAGCTGTCATATGTTGTTGAAGAATGTAAAATAAATTACAGCCTTTTTGGCAAAGTTTGGCAGTGTTTTTACGAAACTAACATACATACTATACCTTCCAGCAAATCTGCTCCTAGAAATAAGAGTGCATGCCTACAAAAAGGCTTATTCAAGAATATTCAGAGCCACTTCATTCATAATAGTTATGAGCAGGAAAAAACTCAAGCAACCCAAACTAGTAACAACCCAAATGTCCTCGAACAAGAGGATAAACTGTGGTATATTCATACAATGCAGTACTAATCAGCAATAAAAACAAATGAACTACTGATGCATGTGTTGCTAAGATACTGACTAAATGTCTGCAAGAGTGATCTTGGACACCTGTGGGCCCTGCTGCAGGCAGAGTGAGGCACTGCCTCTGTGTTGATCAGTGGTTGAATCCCCCCCACCCCCTGCCGCCGCCCCAGTGCTCGTCACCACTATGGTGCTGAAAACAGCACTGTCAGCTTTTGTTTTGTTTTGTTTTTCTCATCTCCCCACACCAAGAGTTCCTTGAAGTTAGCAATGGTCTTTCTGCATCTTTAAATCCCCAACGTCCTGCCAGCACTGGAGACCTGGCACAGAATCAGCCAACATTTATGAAAGAACAAGGGACACTCAGGTGCAGCTTCTATTTCCTTTGAGCCTCCTAAGGCTAGTACAATAGCTATTCAACAATCTCTGTTAACCAGCAAGTGAGAGTCATCATTTGGATATAGGTAATTGGAAAACTGGACAAAGTTTCTATCTCACCAGCAGTTTGTCTGGACTAGTTATAGACAATTTAATCCAAGGCAACTTGCCCAAGGCCACCCAGCTGGTCAGGTGTCAGGTGTGGGATGTGGGTGACTAACTGGTTGTTCTTCCCACCTCACTGCAGCTGCCTCCTCTCATCATATGCTCAAGGAGTATGGCTTGCCCTTCCTTCCATGCAGGGCAAGTGCAAGCTGTCAGAATCTGTACAAGGAGGATGTCATCCTGTTTGGCTAGGGCACCTCGGAAGCAGTGGGAGGTGGAGTTCCTCCCACTCGCCATCCCAAGGGCAACAGTGGCAGTTCTTTTGCTTCCTATCCCTTCTGGGGGCAGAGCAGAGCCTTTTCTGAGAATCAGGTCAGAGCAAGCCTGGGCACAAGAGTGAGCTGAGGAGGGATAAGGTCAGAGACATTTTAGCTTCTTCATGCTTGAGAAATAAGAACTCATCTTCTCAGAGACAGGGGCAGAGGTAGAAGCCCAGCATGTCCTGAACAACAAGGATGACCTTGGCAGTACTCTAAGCAGTAGTCAAAACCTGGGCATCTGACCTAACACAGAAAATCGACAATAGTGTCTAAGAGCTCATTTAGACATTAGGTTAATTCTCTCGGTTACAAGGTAACTTCATTTACCTAATGGTATGCAAAGAATTCTTAAATGTATATTTGTCCAAGAGTCACTAAGAAAATCCCATTTAAAATTATTCTGTTCTGATTTGGCCTTTTATTCTGCCTCTCACGGAATGTAAATATAAAACTTTTATGTGAGAGACTCTTGGCATTGTCTATGCATAGAACATAGCTACATCAGAAACACACACACACATATCTGCACACGTGCATACACACACAGTAGCTATTTCAGAAACAGATGTGACCACTCCAAAGACAGAGGAGGAAAGGGAGGAATGGGAGATTAGTTTAAGGACAGAGTCAAACTATCAAATCTTTTCATCCTCTCAGCTACACAGATCTTGTCTTCCTTCAGTCAAGCTTGTAGCTTGACCCCCATCTCTCAAACCATTCTATTATTTCTACCTTATCTTTAGCTACACATGAATCTAATTATACAAAAGATAATAATGCATAATGACCAATGCATGGGTTGAATCTCTAATATCTGAGAAAATAGTTGCTGAAATCTTCACCTACCTTATCTCTCTAATCCATCTAATAAAATGAAAACCAAATCAATAAAATAAGAAAAATAATGCTGTTATTACATGAATCTCCAGAGAAAGCTATTACTGCAGGTGACTCTCTTATTTTAGAGTGAAGGAAAACATTTTTCTGTGAGTGGGATTATATAATCTTTACCTTTACTTTAGGAAGCCAACCTAAGAAACACGTCATCTACTCTCCTTCCTCATCTTTGCAAGTGGTGTTATGTGCCAGCAGGCTGAGCACTGTCATCACTATAAGAAAGAATATGAATGAATCCAACATACATCCCAAATTGAGAATAACAAATCTGGAATGTGGAGGTTTGCCTGTCTATGGGTTCTTGTAGAGAAGTCTATACTTTTGATTACATGTTTGCCTGTTTGTAAATGACAAGATTTGTCCTGCTCTAGCAAAAAAAATAATTATATATATATATATATATATATATATATATGGCCATCAGAACAAAAGAATCAATAAAACTTTGAATAATCTAATTACAAAATTGGCTCTGATAAAAGTGAAATAGAATAAACCTGCTGCAACCTTCATCAATTATTGTTCCCTTCATCATTTTCAGATCATGATATCAGCTTTTAATCACAAACACTAATATTTTATTGTATATTTTCCGCTTAAATCTAGGCAGTGCTAGCTTGTCATTTACTTTCCAAAATAGCAGAATTAGTGATATTTTGGATGATATAAAGGGTATTTATTCTTCCATTAACAAACATTATGTAAGTACTTACTGTCTGTAGCATAGTGCTGTATTGTAGGGTAA